ATGGATGGATAGATGGATGGAGGGATGGAGAGATGGATGGATGGATGGGTGGATGGGTGGGTGGATGGATGGAGGGGAGGATGGATGGAGAGGTGGATGGAGGGATGGAGAGATGGGTGGATGGAGAGATGGATGGATGGAGGGGTGGGTGGATGGAGAGGTGGATGGATGGAGAGAGGGATGGATGGAGGGATGGATGGTTGGGTGGGTGGATGGATGGATGGATGAAAAGGGATTTATCAAGTGCCTAGCACTGTCCTAAGCACTGGGGATACAAATAGAAAAGATAAGACAGACCATGCCCTCAAGAAGCTCACACTGTAATCGCAGGAAATAAATCATGTCACAGTGGCAGAGTAGATGGGAAGAGCCGAAGCCTTGGGGAGGATGACAAGGCCCAGAGGACTGTGGTGAGGTCTGGTGGTCATCCATCTCACTGGAGGGTTTGTAGTTGGTGATGCCCACAGGCCTTTTGTTCTTCCTGCCTGGTGGTGTCTGGGCCTCCCAAGCTGGGAAAGAACAAAGGGAAAGGAAGGGAGTAGAGACCCCTGGCGGTACTTCCCCCTTCCCCCCACAATGGTCCTGATGGGGCCTTAGGGCCAGGGGTCCCCGGGGGCGGGGGGTGGGGACAGTTGTCGACATGGGGAGCTCTCCCTATGAATCAAGGCAAACAGCGCCCCCCGCCCCACTTCCCTCGGGGAAGGCGGAGGTTAGGACAGAGAGGGACGTTTCCTGCTGAGGCTCAATAGAAAGACTGCTGGCTTTGGGGTAAGAGGCATGGCTTTAGGTCTTGGTTGTCCTGCTAAGGATGTGACCTTGGCCAAGTCCCTTCCTCTCTCTGACCCTCATTTCCTCCTCTTTAAAATGGGCTGGGGACTGATGCTTAAGGGCCCTCCCAGATCTGCCCAAGACGTGTAACCTTCACCGTCCGACATCGGGCACCAGATTCTTGTAGGGCACTGGCATGTGAAGACCTTAGGGATTCCATGAGAGGGGCCCCAACCTTCCCTTGGCCTCTGACAAGCTTTGGTCTCTCCAGGCCTCCCCCCACCCCCAGGCTCTCTGTTGTACCAGGGGCTGCTGTTCTTGCTGTTGTCCTGGGGGAACAGGAGACTGGAGACAGCCCCTCTAGAAAGGACCTGTGGGGAAGGAGCCCAGAGCAGGAGAGCTCTACTCACTGCCCCTCCCGCTGTGGCCGGGCCACACCTTGCTGACCCAGAAGCCACGTTCTCTAGAGTTTGGCTGTCCTCCTTTCTCCCTCCCACTCAGGCCCCCTTGCTGCCCCAACTCCCTACCCCCAACCGATTGCTTTCCAAAAACTCTGGGCAGAGCGAGCGAAGAGGCTTCCTGGGTAGGAAAGTAGGCCTGGTCTCAGCAGAAACAGGGAGAGAGCCAGAGAAAAAGAGACAGACAGACACAGAAAGAGACAGACAGAGACACAGAGAGAGAAGGAGAATGTTCTGGCCACTGCGGGCAGCAGATAGCTCCACCCTGGCACTGGGTGCTTTTTCAGAATTGGTTCACAGTGAACACGTAACAGCTCAGCAGGTAGTCGAAGGGGCCAGGAATCAAGGCCTCTCTCCACTGTGGAAGCCTTCAAGGAAATGCTGTGACAGCTGGAGCTGGGCCAATCCCAGATTTAGCTGATCAGGAGGCAGAGTTTAGGGGAGTATTTTTAGCTCTGGGATTATTTCTTCTCAGTGACAGATAACAGTTCTGACACTGGGCCATTAAGGAGCCAAAAACTGTGCCCTTGACCTTTTGTTCTCGCCCCCACCTTCCTCTCCCCCTCTCTCTGCCCCCTCCTTCCCACTCTCTCTCATTTCTTCCTCCCTCTGTCGTCCCACCTCTTTCTCTCCCCCTTCTTGTCCTTTCTCCCTCTGTCTGCTCCTCTCCCCTCCCCCTGTCTTCCTTTCTCCCCCCCATCTCTCCCATCTCTGTGCGCGCATGTGTGCACACACACACACAAACACACACACGTGCCCTGCAGAGGCTGCTGGGGCTAGTCCATAGAAAGACCTCACCTGGAGATCCTGGTCCCTAAGGATCTGGCTTGGCCAGAGGGGAGGGTGTGCTGGTACATGTCTCCATTTGTCTCTGGGAGGAGAACCCCCAGATGCTGCCTGCATGCCAGCCGGGGTTGAGAGTGGGCCAAGCATGCCCGGTCCCCAGCCTGGGCCCACGTGCTCCACCTTTCTGGTTGCTCACTCTCAGAGAAGATTAGGAGACAGGGATTCCAAGCCGTCTGTCACGTGAGGCAGCAGCAGACGCACACAGTGGGTCTCTATGGAAAGGAAATGAATTGCACTTCAGGCTGAATGTTCAGTGACAGGGGCAGGGTAATGGAAGGCCAGAGTGAAAGTGGTACTGCCCCCACCGTGGGACTGGAGGTGGCTAGCCGTGTGACCCTGGGCAAGCCCCTTCCCTGGCCCATGCCACAGTGTCCTCGTTTGTAAAATCTCCTGTGAGGTCCCTTCCCAGGCAGACAGTGAGGCAAGCAGGCGGCAGCGTCCTCACTTAAAGGAATCCCTGTTTCCAGACTTTGGTCCCCACTTCTTCCTCAGAGGGGTAAAGGGAACTCTTCTTAGGAGGGCTTACTCCTGCCAGCCACCACTCGGGGGATGAGGCCGGAGGTCCCTGAGAGGGCACTGAGTCTTCGGCCCCCTCTGAGGACCCAGGATGCAAGGACTCAGTCCCTTCAGGACTTTTCTGGCCATGTTTTGTAGGTACCCCAAGTCTAGGGCCCAAAGGGACCCCCTCCTAGACCATCCAGGCCAGTGCTCTCCTTTTACAGGTGAGGAAACTGAGGCCCAGGGAGACTCAGTGACTTGCCCAGTCACGCAATCCATAAGTAGCAGAGGAGGGATTCAAACCCAGACCATCTGATGCCAGAGACAGCCCATGTGCTCCTGTCACAGGCTCTGGTCTGTAGACCAGGGGTTGACTCGTTCTTTGGCTCTGTGGCCCCGGCAACTTATAAAATGCCTGGCACCCAGTAGGCGCTTACTAAGTGTCTATGGAATTGAGCTGAACTGAAGCTTCCTCTTTGCTAGTCGACGGGCTTCCTTCCCCCATTAGGGAAGCCGTGTGACCCTGGTCCTGCAACTCCTCGAGGGCAGGCCCTGTGGGTCACTGGGCCCTCCCTGAGTCTCAGTTGTGTGCGACTCAGTTTCCTCATCTGTAAAAGCTAGGTGTTGGACTAGACAGCTCTGGACTGATGGGACAGTGTCCTCTCTGTGCCTCCGTTTCCTCCTCTGACCCCGGAGGCCGCTCCTAGCATTAGGCCTAGGATCCCGGGCACCACCATCTTACTCAGCTAGGCTGCTTCCAACGGCAGGTCACACGCTGCCCCCTTGTGGTGCGCTGGATGGAAGGCCTGACTCCCACGGGTTGTCCAGTCGCTTGTTGATGAGTTCGGTTTGATGTGTCCCCCGAAGCTTCCGGGCCCCCTTCTCTTCCCTTAAGGGACGGGAGGGGTACATGGTGCTGCCTCATGCCTCAGTGGCACAAGGTGTGGAGCAGGCAGGAAAAGGAGTTTTTCCAGTTGGGGGTGGCAAGAGATGATCCTTTGAGGAGCAGGGTGAAACAGCCGCGAGTGAAATCACCCCCGCCAGCTGCCGTGGGCTGCGTCAGCGAATCACGTCCTGAAGGTCTTTGAGCGTCCACAGTCGTGGCACCATCAGATGCTGTGAAACAACGACTGTAAGAGTCCTAAGGCGCCCTCCACTCCAGCGCCAGCCCTGCCATCCAGACCTCCCTCCCAGGCTTGGCTTTGCCTCGCCCCAAGCGGCCAGTCATTCTTCTAGGGACTTTGGACCGCCATCGCACGCGTCCACAGCTATCTTCCGATCACTGGAGGTTTTCAAGACTCTCTCTTCCCTGCCAGAGGTAGGATAGGATACAGCTTTCAGGAAGGAGCGCCCAAAGGACTCGAGGGCCCCAGTGTGAAGGACCACTAGTGAAGCTGGGCCAGCTGGTGTGGCCATTGGCTTCCTTCCCCTGAACTGAGAAGATGGCGCTCACCCACTCCCAGAGGCCACTAGGGGGCACCACAGTGCATAGAGTGCTGGGCCTGGAGTCCAGCCGCAGACACTCACTAGCTCTGTGACCCAGAGCAAGTCATTTAGCCTTTGCCTCAGTTTCCTCACCAGTAGTATGGGAACAATGATAGTACCTCCCTCTCCTCCGTTATCGTGCGGATTGAATGAGGTATCGGTTAAGCACTTCGCAAGCCCTTGGGGACCCGGGTCTGGGCATTAGTCACTCCTCTAAGTACTGGTCCACCTTTTCTCACTGTTTTCACCTGTGTCCTTGTCAACAGCAGCAACTTTTGAGGGCAGGTTCCTCCAAGGCCTTCTGCCCAGGGAGGCGACTAGTCCCGTTTTTGTCCTCCCCGTTCTACAGAGGGGTAGTGACTTGCACAAGGTCACCCTGCTAGGGGGTAACAGAGCCCACCCTCCACCCCAGGACTTTGGGTTCCACAGACAGCCCTCCCTCCAGCTGGGGAAGATAGAAACCCGTTACAAACTCAACCAGCGGCCCAGAGGCGATAGATGTGGAGCCAGAGGCCGCCGAGACCTTCGTTTTTACGGATGAGGGCACTCGCTGCTCCAATCCATACCCGAACAGGCCTCTCTACCCCCTGGAAGACAAGCGACCATTAGAGGTTAATCTGGGCTGGCTGTTGGGAGTGGTCTGTCTGTCAGAGCTTGGAGACCACCAAGGATGGGGAGCTCACTACCTCCCAAGGCAGCTGTGCCTCTTTATAACTTTCTCCATTATTCCTGGCTCTGCCCTTTGGGGCTAAGCAAAGCAAGTCCAATCTAACTCTTCTCATGATTATCCTTCAGTTATCTGAACATAGCTCCCATCTCCTCCCTGAATCTTCTCTGCTCCAGCCTAAACACTCCTGTTTTCTTCAAATGATCAGATGCTAGGAAGACGACAGCATTTATTAAGCACCTACTGAGTTCCAGGCACCATGCTAAGATACCTGCACTGGTGATGGAGAGAAGGGCAAAATCAGACGCTGCTTGCAAGGAGCTCACTTTTTTAAAATATACAGATTTATATAGTGCTTTATTTCCCCCAACTACCTGTAAAAACAGTTCTAGCATTCATCGTTTTTTTTTTAATTTGCGTTTCAAATTGTATCCCTCCCTCCCTCCCCTGCTGAGGAGCTCACATTCTGGTGGGGAAGACAACGTGCCCAGCACTGTGTCTATGCAAGACAAATGCAGTGGAAAGGGTTGGAATCTCGGAGGGCGGGGGGGAGCAGAGGGGTGGGCCCCCCATAAATGCATGTGTCCCCCTCCCCCCAGGGCCTCCCGCCGGCCCCCCACTGCCACTGAGCATGCGTGACCAGGCTTGCTCTGCCTTGCAGCTCAACGCCATGGCCAACCGCGCCGCGGGCAAAGGCTACGAGAATGAGGATAACTACGCCAACATCAAGTTTCAGTTCATCGGCATCGAGAACATCCATGTGATGAGGAGCAGCCTGCAGAAAATGCTGGAAGGTGAGTGCACCCCTCCCTGCTCCCCCCCACCACACCTGGGCCACCGCTGACCGTTGCGTTCCTGCTGCGGCCGGGCCAGCGACCCACCAGGACGGGGTGCCCGGAGATGCCTGGGGACGCAGGGCACCGGTGTCGTCCCTTGTGGGGCACTCGATGGCTCTCCTGATCTGGCCAGGGCAGCTCACAGACCCACCAGGGCTGGGGTGCCCGGAGATGCCTGGGGATGTGGGGCACCAGTGTGGTCCCTTGCGGGGCACTCCATGGCGCTCCTGCTGGGGCATGGCCAGCCCACAGACCCAGCAGGGCTGGGTGCCAAGAGATGCCTGGGGACACGGGGTACCGGTGTAGTCCCTTGCAGGGGCCTTGCCACATCAGGGCCAGGCGGTCTCTGGGAAGGAGTGCTCCTGTGAGCAGGGGTGGCCCTGTGCTTCTTGTACTTTTGATGGAGTAAGAATTGAGGCATTATGGGATGGTGCAGAGAACCCTGGCTCTGGAGCCAGAGGCCCTGGGTTCAAATCGCAGCCCTGTTCATCACCAGCTGTATGACCTTGGGCAAGTCTGCAGGCCTCAGTATCCTTATCTGTAAAATCAGGGAGAGGAGTTTGATGCCCTCTGAAGCCCTTGCCAATTCTAGGTTGTTGGACTTTGGATTTATTTGGGTGCCTGTCGGGTTAAGGGATTATGGATGGGTTGACCTGGAAGAGACTTTGGAGGCCGTCTGGCCCAACTTCCCCGTGACCCTCTCATTTTATAGATGCAGGCTCTGAGGCCTAGGGAGGCCCCAGAGGGCTATGAACCCAACAGAGAAAGGCCAGCAAAGGGCAGTTGTCCCTGGCCATGTGGTTGTAGCGGACATTTCCTGAAAGGGCTGGCACCGTCCAATCTCTCTGAACCTCTGGACTGAGCCCTATCTGTCTGTCTGTGCTGGTGGTCCCCACGCTGTGAGACCCTGGGAGGCCTCTAGCCCAGCCATCCCCGAACAAAAGTCATTTCTTGGCAAATTCCCAGCGGGGCAAGCGACCATCCAGCTTTTGGTCAGAGACCTCCAGCAGGGGCAGCAGGCCCCACTCCCTCCCCAGCAGTCCATTCACTTCAGGCTAACGTGAATTGTTGGGAAGCTTTTCTGGGCTGAAGTTCATAGGATCAAAGAACTTAGAGCTGGGGAGACCTTCAAGGCCATCTGGTTCAACTCCCCCACTTTAAAGAGAAAGAAAATGAGGCCCAGACAAGGAAGTTAAGTCAGTAAGCATTTCTTAAGTGCCTGCTATGTGCTAAGCACTGTGCTTAGCAATGGAGATGCAAAGAAAGGCAGAGCAAACCAAGTCTCTGCCTCCAGGTCACAGAGGAAGCAAGTGACAGATAGGATTTGAACCCAAGCCTTCTCCCTCCAGATTTAGCCCTCTGCCCTTGTACCACTTTGGGACAGCAGGTGAGGTGAGACTGAGTCAACAGAATGAATACCCAACAGCTTGGATAGAATCTCTCAGTCGGCACCATTGGACCCAAGCTTCAGCTACCGTGATTGTACATGGCCCAGATTGTGCCGGTCGGGCCGTGCACTCTTCTTCTAACAGGAGCAGGCTGCCAGGGTCATACTTACCAGTCTTCGGAGCCCACCCGGATAAACATAGAGACGGGCCGATCGGGAGGTGCAAACACTCGAACTTTATTCAGAGGCCATCACAGCAAGGCCAAGCAGGAAAGCAAGAGCAAGAGAGCAGGAGCAAGAGAGCAAGCTCCGACCCTACCGCCCCTTATATACCTTCCTAGCCCCTCCTCCTCAGCCCACCTACCAGTGAATGATTGTAGGATCAGATACCGGAAGGGGATGTCTGGGGTTAGCACTGCACCAAGGGAGAGTACATGACACAGGAAGCTGGGCCTAGATACAGGAAGGAGGCGTCTGGGGTTAGTGCTGCACAAAGGGAGAGGACGTGACACAGGAAGCTAGGCCTGGATACAGGAAGGAGGCGTCTGGGGTTAGTGCTGCACAAAGGGAGAGGACGTGACAAAGGAAGCTAGGCCTGGATACAGGAAGGAGATGTCTGGGGTTAGTGCTGTACCTAGGGAGAGGACTAGACAAAGGGAGCTCGTTCTCTGCCGTCCCACTCCCACGTGGCACAGCCCCCTGCCTCGGGAGCGTGAGCTCCGGTTACTTCCTAATATCCTGTCCCTGCCCCATCTTGCCACAACCCTCACGTGGCAGTAGCCAACATCAGACAATCCCTCACACCAGATACTCGTGGTCTTAGCAGGCACTGGAGGAAGACAGGAAGCAGCTCCCAGAACTGAAGCTAGTGTTCTAGGCCTGGTTTGACCAGACACAAGAGCAGGACCAGCCCTAGTTCAGGCCTCTCTAAAGGCAGCCCCCGTCGCATGGGCTTTTGGGGCTGACCTGTGATATTGCTGATTCATATCATGCATGCGGGCCACTGAAATCCCCAGATCTTCCTCCAAACTGCTGTCTAGTCATGCCTCTCCCATTTTGTGTGTCACAATGCTTTTTAACTTGAACGCAAGCCTCTACATGGATGCCCAGTACATTCCAACATGGAGCCCTAGAGCCCATCTCGAGCTTTGGAATCCCACCTGTCATGCAGTGCACTGGCACTTCCTGCAGCTCTGTGGCGTGGTCACCTTTGACAAGTGTACATCTGTTCCTTTATCGAGTCACTGAGAACGTGTTAAACAACCCGGGGCTTCCTCACCCTCACCATGTGAACTGCCCGCCTCCATGTATGTTCCTGCCTAACATGAATGTCCCGTTGGGCCCCTTCTTACACATGGTCACCAGGAGCCGCAGCCTCCTTCTGGCCCCTGGCTGTCCGACGCCCATTACCCTTGGGTCACCTGCAAGTGAGAGGCTCCTAAGAGCATCTTCTTCTATGGCTCAGCACTGTCTAGCATCACTCAGAAACAATTTCTGTTACTAAGATGGTGTCTAGGACCAGAGGCTGTACAACTTCCCAAGTGTTACCCCATGCCTTCTCTTACTCTTGTTTGGGTCTCAGCGCAGTCACTGCCCAGCCACAGTGCTTATGGTCACCGTGGCTACACCTGGTAATGGATTAAGTCCTATAGACTGTACATCATAGAGTGCACAATCCATCTCTTTCATTCACTTGATTTTCCTTGTATGGATGGCTAGAACAGTTCATTCCGAATGAAATGCATTTTGAATCCAATTTTGTTCAGCAAACATTGATTATACCTCTATTTGTGTGCCAGACATTGAGGAAGGAGAAGGGAAAGACATAAGAATTTATATAGAGCCCACTTTGTGCTAGGCACTGTGCTAAGTGCTTTTTAAAAATTTTACAAATATTATCTCATCTTATACAAAGACAAAAATAAAATAGTCCTTGCCTTCAAGAAGTTTCTTTTCAACTAGAGGAATACATGATATAATATACATGTATATATATATATGTATGTATGTATATACAGAGGGTAACAAGATAATTTGAAGAGGGAGAGACCAGTGTCCAGGTGGGCAGAGGAGTCAGGAAAGGCTTTAGGGGGTAGCCTCTGAACTGAGCCTTGAAGGAGACTAGACAGAGGTGAGGAAAAAGTGAATTCTGAGCAGGGGACACAGCCTGTACAAAGGCATGGAGATGGGAAATAGGAGAGATTTCTGAATTTAGAGAATATGTGACAGGTCAATTTGTCTGGAATATAGACGACATCAAATAAGTTCAGAAAGGCTGCTAGGAATGAGATTGTGAAAGACTTTGAAATGATAATTTGTGTTTATCCAGAGGTAAGAGTGAGTCCCTAGAGTTTAATGAGTAGGGGAGTGACATGACATGGTTAGACCTAGTCTTTAGGAAGATCATCCAGGTAGCCACATAGAGGATGTTCTGACGAGAAACTCTGAAGGTTCTTCTCCTCCCAGATGGATACTTTTGTGGTAAATTAGGCCATAGTTTGTCTCACTTCTTACCTAGCCCTTAGTCAATGAATGGGTGTTGCCTCAGACAAACTGAGACCTGGGAAAGACTTTAATTTAGAAAGGCCAAGGTCATGCACTGCAGCCCGGGTCATTCCCAGTCATCTGGACATTTGTCTTCCCACTGGATGTTGATGACTCTGGAGCAGAGCGTGTGGCTGACTGAGCAGCTCTGTCTCACTTAAATCCAATTCATATGCAAGTCAAGATGTCACCCATGATGTCATTGGTCCTCTTTGAAAACCAAGGATGAATAACAACTACAACATCTGAGTGCATTAAGACCCTTGACTTGTTAGAACAAATATCAAAATTAGTGTGAAGTTAGACAAAAGAATGGGGGGAATAGGAAATGCAGCTGAAACAACTCAACCTTGATCTATTCAAACAACAGGCTGATGAGGAAATTTAGGTAATGGATGGTAGAAAGGACATTTTCATTAAGTAGAATAATTTTTCAGAGTTGTTTAAACAATGAGATTCAGCTGTCATTACAAAGAAACCAAAAGAGCCTCAGAAGTGCCTCAGTCAGCAAACTCTTGACTTACTTGTCAGTCAAAAAGAGGTATCCATCAAAGGCAACACCAGTTTGCAATATAAACTCTTTTGTGAAATATGCAAAGGATTTTAGCAAATTAGAAACAATATTTCATAAAGTGGAAAGAATTAGCAGAAGGTAAAAGCAGTTTAAAGTGAGCCAGGTGAGACATTCAACTAAGTAAGTCATTCCAAGGGCATTAAAGGTAAAAATGCAAAAAGGACAACAAACAGAAAAAAAAAATGGAAAAGATCTGCAAAGAGTTGTCACTGTCAATAGAGACACTATACTTGGACTTGAACATCATAGTTCCATATGTGCTTTTGAGGAGCCAGAAATGGTGACAGAAGAGTAGAAAATGAGAAAATGTAAGATGAGAAAAGTAGCAAGTAGCAAGATTAGACCAAAAATATACAGACAAAATCTGTGCCAGAAGGGCCCCGACTGGGAAGGCATTGAAGGTTTAATTCATAAGGTATTTGAAGGAGGGAGGGAGAGAGAGACACACAGAGA